ACCCTACCAGCAGATGCAGGTTAAAATTTGGGGCTTCACGCGCAGCGACATGAAGTCTGCACGTATGCAGCAAAGGAATGAATGCCCAGGAATTCCCTCCAGCATTTTCTCTGCCGCCAACTGTAAATAAGCACAGGTCACTACCCGATCATTGCCTTTGATAGTTTAGGGTTTGTAGGGCTTGTGTGCATAATGCCCACTGTTGGCCGGGCCAGCGCAACAGGTTCTCATGCTAGACCCCTTGGCCTCAGAAACCCGACCCTACTACTCAGGACTTCTCAGTCTACATCCGGCAAAACAAGTAAAGTTTGTCCAAACCCCCAATCCTAGATCTTCAAGTGCTGCTTTCTTCAGCGCCCCGCTCGAGGCTGCCAGAATATTTGCCCACAAAGTTGCAGCAGTCCGCCCGCCCTCCTGGCGAAAAGTGCGTCCTTCCACTTCCAAGGACCAGTACGAAATTCAAGTTGGTGCAGAGGGGCCACGTGGCGTGCAGGTGAAACATGCAAGCGCCTAGGGGGCCAAGGCGTCAGTCAGCATTGAGAAGAAAAGTTGTGGATGATGGTGTTGGGGCCAATAAAGCCGGATTGAGTCCCCAGCTGAACAAATTAAATCAACGGCCATGCATCTTAAATTCCCACGCCTTAGCGCTGTGTATTCGTGCAATCTCCATGACTACTGTTGAGCCCACGGTGTTTGTGCAGGCTACTGGATGCTTGAGTTCCTGCCAGTTAGTTCTGAAGGCGAGTGCAGACAAGCTTTTATGCCTCTCACCATTTTCGGTCGGACTGGTTTGTTTAGATCCCCGTTTGCCACTGTCTGTCCTTCCTTTGCTGGCACTTCCGTTCGTTGAAACGTCCAGTAGAACATCAGATAAGGCCTGCTGTTCTCATGCTCTTTGTACATTTTCTGACCAGCTAGGGTCTCACAGAACTCAGCTCATCTCAGCATCATATCGCAGCAGCTGCAGGCGCTGTTGAGTTCAAAGTAGGCACTCATACTTTCCTACACTGTGTCAAACCCCCTGTCAGTAGCCTCATGAGCCACGGAGCCACAGCACTCTACTGTCGTGGCGACCCATTCCGCCTCAGCCCAGGATAATCAAAAAGACCAAGGGCTATGGCGCTACCTTCGAAGGCTTGGAAGCTGCTCCTGCAATCTTGGCCGGTTTGGGCTGCCCAATGCTGTGTGTGACTTGAAAGCTAGTCTTGCACGCAGAGCTCTATTCACACGGGACTGTTGTTGCACACTGTGTGACGGTGTGACCTTCACGGAGGTAAGGACAGCCCTTAACAGCCCTTAGGCCCTTATGGGCCTTGTGGCCCTAGACCCCAGCCCGCTTTTTGCAGGGAACAAAGTCTTCGTCCACTTCCATTCTGGCGTCAAGCCGCTTGATCTTCAAAGGCTGGAGTCTTCGGTTCAGAGGTGTCAGGAGCTTTGTTGGAAGCTTGCCAGGAATTCAAGGTTTCAGGCTTTGCCGAATTCCCCTAGGCCTGATCCAACAATTCCTGTGGTGTGCCCGCTACCCCCGCTGTCCAGCTCGATCTACTTGGCAACTTACAAGTTGGCTTGGGCCTCTGCCCCGTTTAGAGCACCCGAGTGTGTGTCATATTGGTGGCTTCGCTTGGGCAAAGGCCCGGTTTAGAGCAACAAGCTGTTTACGCATGTTCAGGTTTTGGGTTTAGTGCTCTTTTTGGCACCTGTTGGCGAACATGAACAACTTGTCCAGGCGAGAACCCACAAGCCTGCTGCAAAAAAGTGCTCTTTTTGGCCTAGTGTGTGACAGGGTGTGGGGGGGGTGAGGGATGGTTTGGGGCATTTAGGCGACGTTTAGGCAGGCAGAGTAGCACAAGCACAGCATAGAGACATAGCCCAGCATTCCCTCACGCCAAGGTCTGCCGTGTCGAGCGACAGGCCTCCCAGAGATGCTGGAAAGGGCGACAGGTCCAAGGGGGGAGGAAAGTCCCCAGAAAGCCCGAGCCCTTCGGACACAATACGTGGGTTGCTTCTTCGGTCTAGAAGCCAGGATCGCCTTTGTAGGAGCCAAGCCTCAGGCTGAGCACGGGTTCAAACAAATATTTGTGAACAAGTGAGGGCTCGCGCGGTGGCGGTGCAAGCTTTAGCTGTTTGGGGGTGTCGTGGTGGCTGCGCACAGTCCATGCACCACAAGTTTAGGGGGTCCAAGTGTCCCGGCTCTTAAGGTCGGAGAAGTTACGAGCCGAAGGTCTACAAGATCCCCGTGGACCCGACCTATCTGACCGAGAGGAACGAGTTGGTGGATGACGCACAGGTGCCTTCTGCAGAATCGGGTGTTGAAGAGGGCTGTTTTCCTGAGAACGCCACCCAGGCTGGGTAGGTGTGCGTGTGTGCATATGCCAGATATGTATTCATATATCTAGTATAACCCCCAAGCCAAATTCAACATCTTTCTCACCATATCTGTCAACCATGTCTGCCAAAGCCAATTCAGAACATGCAACCTAACTGAACTCCTAGAGACTACTCGCAAGGCGAGCCGTCGTGGTTTTGACTTGATGAGGTTCGCAGTATGCAGGGTTGAAATTGCGATTGAAAAGCTTGATTTCAATCAGGGATCCAAGATCCGAGATTCTCAAAAGACTCCTGGGAGAAATCTTGGATCCGGGCACGATTGAAAAATTAAATCTTTCAATCGCGTTTCAATCGCCACTGCCATGTGCGCTGAATTCCGCATTCTTTGTCCCTTTTCTTTCTCTGCGCACGTGATTGACTCAATTCATTGCTTGGGGGGGGGGGGGGGGGGGGGGGGGTTGGTCCGTCCGTAGAGAATGCAAACATGCGAGATGTACGAAATTAGGATAAGACTCTCAAAGCTTCAAAGCCTTAAAACGGAAACAATTGCTTGCCCTCGATGCCAAAGAATGCGGAAAAACTTGCCCACTTTCTCTGCGTAGTTACATTGTCAAAGCTCTACATTCATTCGATCCGAAATCAAGGCTTTGTTCCGGATGTGAAAATTGGCAGGATGTACACCAGAATCGTTTGTCTAGAGCCGAAATAGAGGCTTATGTAGAAGTTCTTATCGCTCCGAGTTCTTGAAAGGGCTGCAGCGAGCCCGAAATCCCAGCAGTCCTTCTTGCTCATAGAAATTCAGGCTGCATGGGTTCGCAGAGTTTCATCACGTATGCGAATCAACCGCGAAATCGTCGAACTCGTTTGGCAAGTTCTGAATCAGGTACCCAAAAGGTTTTTTTGTATGACATTTTTTGGGCGGTCAGAAGTTGGAACATCCGTGGTGGGAGCACAGGTCACCCCCCACAAGCCGCACAGCTAAGCTTTTGCGGCTTTTCATCTGAAGGCCCGACAACCCACATTCCGCATCTTCAAATGGCCTCGGTTTCCTACATCCGAAGGAGTCGCTGATGAAGTTTCTGGGATTGGAACATCCTCCGCCAGGAGCGCCGAGCTTGGTGTTGGCAAATTGACAGCCTTTAAGCCTCCAAGGCCCGTCTTATCCCACTAGCACGGGCCCCTCACAGGCCTGAAAATCCACACTCTTTAAGGTGGTGAACCTCGTGTATTCTTTGTCAGTTAGGGTTGCGGAATTGTGTCGGTTGCCGCTTTGGGTTTGCATATTTTGCTGTTTCTCTTGAGTCAGAAGAAGGCTCACGCTTCACGCGTCAAGCCTCAGCCAGTCAGCAAGGAGGGTGGGCAAAACTTGGGCTCTAGTCAGCGTTCTGCTTCACTGAAGCTTCGAAGTTCTTAGATAGTCATGTCACTTCAGTCAGGGCAGGGTTCAACCCCACATTCGGTGGTAGCTTCGCTGACTACGCCGTGTTGTTTCTGTTGGGGTTGAGTTTTGGGGCTACCAGGACCACTGTAGACTGCTTTGCAGCTGTTGATTTTATAGGTTGGGGTTCACCTTGTACTCTGCAGGACTGTTGTACAACTCCGTGCCCGTTGACGATGTCGAAGAAGCTTGTCTGAACAAGCCAAGCACTACCTGCTGTTGACTTCATGCGTCCTGTGTCAATTGTCAGCATGTGGGCGCCAAGTCGCTGGGAAGAAGCAGGCGCATGTCACACATGTGCAGCTGACCACAGAAGCTGACAGAAGCTACACCTCAACCTTCCACGACTCACCGGAAGCAGAACCGGTTGAACCCAAGAAATCGGAGCAAAAAATCCAGGGGGCCTTGCCCTGGCTTGCCCTTTCTCTCCTGCCTCTGCCTTCACTGAGGCAGCCAAGGGCTCAAGATGACGATGCCCTGAGGCGGTTTCCAAGAAACCCCTGCCTCAGAGATAGAGAGCAACCCCCCAAACACCGGTTTTGTCTCACTCGAGCTGTTGCTGAGGGTCTGGTATTGAATCGGTATTGTTGACTGTGAGATGTGCATCAGCACACGAGGTCCTACGAGGTCCCCCCCCCCTTCTTGCCGAAACATGGGCCTCAAAAGTCGAAAGCCCCGAAGCCTCAAACAGATCGAGCTGCCCCGCGATCCTCAAGCCTTCACTCACTGCCCATGAGATCATGAGGCCCCCAGCTTATTTTGAACTTGGGGTACCATGACCCTATGGACCTATGGACTGTTCAAGACCAGAGCCGCTGAGTGCAGACTCTTGATTCGAATCCTTGGCCGATGATCTTTGCGGCCATCCCATGCTGAAAGCAGCAGGGAATTTGCGTAACCATGGGCCAATGTTGCCCACACCGCTCAGCTCGTGAGGGTTTTGGGGTGCACAGCTTGACAGGGCTTCACCCAGAACAGTTAAGAGTGCAATCTCCCTGAAACCCTGAGCCTACAACCTCCCCAAAACCCAAAACCTTGCGGCTCCTTCCGGCCTGCGTTTCGGGCCTGGGCTTTTGGGCTTAGAGCTTTAAAAGCTTCAGGATTCCAGTGGCAGAGGAAACGAGGTCAAAACAGATGCTTCCACCATGGACAGTCGTTCCGGTCAACGGCGGCTCTGGGGCCGTCCTGTGCCACACATCTCCGATGCAAGCGGGGCACTCCTGTTCGGGCAGAGGTGCACATGTCCAGCTCCGGAGCAGCGCAGGCCGATCCTCCGTTGCTGCTTTGAAAATAAGGGTTCAGGGTGTTAGGCTTGCAGTTTATCAATTAGGCCAGCGTGTGCTTATGCACTGTAAGAGCATGGGAAGCGAACTTTTCACGACACAAATGCTCAAGCAAGCGCTACTAACATTCAATTCATGGCAAGAAAGTATGACAGGTATGTGTATATATATATATATGTATCTGTACATTGTTACAACCCTCTCGTAGTAGACTACAGCACAAACATAGCTGGGGAACCTGCGTTCTACAACTGTCTACGTCTGACACGCTAGAGTCCTTGCAATGCCTACCCCTGAAAGGTGTGATGATTGCTGAAACCAACAGCCCACAGGCCCTCTTCGTCATCACGACCCTTCCCCTACAGAGCTCGAACCAGCACCATGAGGCAGCGAAGCTTGCCGCTGCTGGCCCGACAGAGCTTGGCCCAGGTACCCCAAACAGGTTTTTGGCGGCTTTACGGGTTTTGAAGCTGTTAGTGGTTGAAGGTGCAGGGCTTACAAATTTGGGTGCTCAGCTTCTTGGCTTGCGCCGCATGCCCACACAAAAAAACGACTTGTAGGAGCCGAAAATGGCATAGAGCTTTGCAGTCATAAATCGGATTTGGTGTGGGAATGTGGCCAATTTCATGTTGCAACCTGGCCTGGGTCATTTTCTTGCCCAGCACATGCATACCCTGCCGAAGTAGATGAAAGTCAAACTCAATCCACCTCGTAGACGCAGCCCTGTCTTACAACCATGTTTCTTAGAACCCTCTTTAAGCATCATTCTCAGCCCAATTGAAGCCAAGTCTTGTCCTGCAGCTGACAGCATCCCCACGCAAGCTAGGCGGGGACTTTGCATGGCAGGACCGGGTCCAATTTTGATGGATCTTCGGATGCTTACTAGCTTCTAAGCGTCGTGTCCCGATGCCTCGAAGCATGGGCGCAAACGAAGAGTTGAGCCTTAAACCGGTTTCGTGGAATCCAAGCCTCAACCACTGCGAGCATCTTTAGCTGCCGGCGTGGCTTTTTTGTACAGATTTTGTGGCCTTCTGGTCCAATCAGCTCCTCGCCTATGAGGCTCCCCAACAGCTTGAAACTCCCAGGAGCTCCTGTCGCTTCTGCCGCCCTGGCGTCGTGCCATGACGAAAACCGACTTCGAGGCCAAGAATGTCTCAGCTGCTTGTTGGCGAGGAAGGAATCACCGAGTTTCTGTTTAGTTGGGGGCGGGGAGGGGGGGGGGGGGGCGGAACCTTCTGCCATCGAGTCGCTTTCATTTGGTGCGTGTGCCTGTGCATTATCTCTCATGCCCGGTGTGGGGAACCATCCGGAGGGTACCCCTGCAAGTAGCAGCCTTGGCTGTTGCAAGCCCAAGCTGGTGCCAAACTGCTGTTGGGAGGCCTTCTGCCGCATCAGCGCCGAGCACCTTCTTCCGCGCTCCTGGGATGTGCAGCAGCGTAGGCAAGGGCACAAGGAGTGCGACAAATTGACGACAAGGTGCCTGCTTCATACTCAAATATACTCAACCGCTGTTGATATCTACAACCTTGCCAGTCTACGACAAGGGCTATTGTGGGACCTGGGGGCATCCATGTACGTAGGACAAAGATTTCGGAGACTTGGTATGATGATTGTGATCGTGTAAGAACGCGCCGTGCGCGCTGCACATGTTTGCATGGACTTGCCGTACGTTATTGTGGTAAGCTCTGCTGTGTTATAGCGGAAAGTTCTTGGAGCTGTCGCGTGCACCAAATATTGGCCTGGGTCCAACAGATGGGGGATGCAAGAGTAAAACGCAAAAACGGAGAGTGAGGTTTTGTCGGCAAAAGCCCTGCAACTTTCCCCTTGGCCGTAGGAAATCATATACCAGAGCCAGATCACATCATGTGACAGTGGCAAGACAGGATTTATGTTTAGCCTGTTTCCAATTTTCTGCCTTATTTTGCTCCCATCTGCTCCGCCTTTACCCCGAACATATCTAAGCGGCGTTTCTTTCTCGATAGAAACACCCTAGAAATGCCATGAAAAGCTCAGACGCATTCAGAAGCTCCACGTTTGAGGTTCGGGTGCTTAGGGCCGGGCTTCGTGGGGGACATTTTGACTCGGGCTTCAATTATAGGGTAGGCACGTCTGAGGTTACCGTAAGGGAATGCAGGGCATCAACTTCCGCATACTTCTCAGGCTTCAAAGCTGAGCGAGTGCGCCGGCTGTCACAGGCGCGAATTGATGCCAGCATCGGCATGCTGCATAAAGTCAGCTGTAAGTAAGGGCGCCGCAACTACTCCGACGCCTGCATTTTCTGGGCAGGCCCACAAAAAAGCTGGATCAGCTGTTGCGGTGGCGGCGATACTCAAACTGGGTTACGCCTCGTTCATTTTGAATGTTTCCGGCTTGGCGGGCCCCGTAGAACGCATATTCCACACCGCATTTGAGAGCACGAGCATTCCAGAACCCTGAGGGCTTCAGCTTGAATTCTCAGCCTGGAAATTCCCCAAGCTTTTCCGTGCAGGTCTTGATCGAGCTCTATCCACCCGCCAGTGCCCACCTCAGTCACGCTCTGCACCCTACTCGGAAGACATATTGCAGTGTTCAGGGCATCCTGTCATGCCGGAGGCAAGGGATAGTAAGGGCAAAGTGTTGTGAAAGGCTGGCTCTTCAAGGGGATACCGTCAGACGTGGTTCCCTTCGCTTCACTTCGGTTCTCTCTCGCTCTCTTGCTTTCCCTCTCTCTCGCTTGAAACGAAATGATGCTGGAGACATACCCATGTTGTAAGAATTGTGGTCGTAGCCTTCAGAGGATGTTTTCTGGTGTGATACAAAGGCCGCCGGTAGCTTTTGTAGTGTGGGAAGTTGCCATTCCCAAGCCAGCTTGGGAATCGGGGATTCATCTACAGTATCTCAAGCATGGACCTGTTGAGCCCTTTGGGGTGCCTGTGCCCTCAGGTATCCGTCTGCTGTGGCCTTGCATGTATACCTCTTAAGTCGTCGAGTATAATAGCTCAATCCTGCTTCCAGCGAGTCCCGAACACATGAGCGCTAGGAAAGAGATGCTTCCTTGCTGGGGGATTGAACATGTTCAAGCCTAGTCTATGGAGCAGAGGAGGGCTTTGAGGAACCAGGTTTCTCGCAACCGCAGCACCTCAGGTGCTCTCGAGGATCCGCAGGCCACAGTTTGGGGGGTGCGGTGGATTATGGGGGTTTACGATTTGAGGGATAACCTTGTTGGGGTCCGTATTATATAAAAACGGGGGCATCCTACTACTTGGGGGGTCAGAATTCGGGCCCTGATTATCCTAAACCCTCAAAAATACAAGCGTCTCAGCGGGCGTCGTATCCGAAGCGCCAGAGAGTCCTGGTTCGAAAAAGGTCCGAAGAACTCAAGCGCAACCCAGCCAGGCCTTGGTTTTGGAGTGGTTTGAATATGTTTGAATTTGGAGCCTGTGTTGTTTTGTGGCTGAAGGCTGTTGAGGCTAGAGGCCCTGCAATTCTTGCTGCATGCGTGGAGCCTGAAAAGCGGCAAAATAACAGGTGATTTTCCTCTCTTGGGTCCGCAACCTGTGCAAGGCAACACCGTTCTCAAGGTGGAATTCCACTCAGGTTTCTTTTTGGTTTGTTTACGGGTATGGCTTGAAGCTCCAGGGCCTAGCATGTCTCCAATGTCTCATGCCAGGCCAAGGCTTCGCCACCCTCAGCTGCTCAGAGGCGCGCGTGTGAAGCCATCCCCTTATGCTGAGAGTCCTTAATTGGGAGTCTAGTACCCCTTATTTTTATCCCTAGTATCATCCCTATAAAGGACTGTTAGTATAAGGGTATGCCTCTGGCCATGCCGCTCTGGTGCCTTCTTTCCTGGCGCAGAGACCACTGGAGTAGCAGTTGGTCATTGTATCCGGAGGGCACCTCGCGTCAACAGTTCTGTACGACATGTTGTGACTTTCTTCTGCGCACGTGAAAGTCAGAGACGGAATTTGGATACTGAAGTTCTCATTTCGAATGGGGTGCTGGCCAGTGCTGGCTGGGGGCGTTTGCGCGAACGCGTTAGGCATCCGGCATCCACTTCCAGCCCGCTTGACGCGACAAGCGGCTTGGCCCAGAGAGACTTCAGTTGTTGCAGTTTTTTCTCTTCTCTCATCACGTACAGAATGCGGCGGCGCAAGTTTGCTTGGGAGGTCGGTGTTGCGGGATGTTCCGGAGTGTCCGGAGTTGTTTGTGCAACTTGGTTTGTTCCATTGGTTTTGGTTGGGTTAGAGTTGAATTGCACGAGTTCAGTTTTGGGAAGTGCCTCGGTGCCTTGAGAATGGTGCCAAGTCTCCATCATCTTGGATGCTGACTACTCGGTGACCGTGTATAGTATAATGGCAATCTGGTCCTTCTTGCGCAATGGCGGTTTGCTGCCCAAAATCTGCAGAGGCTCCTACCGACGTCGGCAATTGGGTGCAGTGGCAGCTGTGCAACGGATGGGCATCGCCCTTACGTTTAAAGAAAAATAGCCCACCCACATGCAGCTGCACCAAATTAGCAGCAAGTTGAATTACACATCCAAAACTAGACCCTACCACAAGGCGACCGGGAGAAAGACGCGGCTAACGTCAAAGGCTCCGAAGTGCTGCTGCGTTGGGCAGACCTCCTCTGTCTTGATGCAACCTAAACCCTGAACCTGAGCTGGGATCTAGGTTGAGGGCAGCACAGAAGTCCTGAGAAAGGTTTTGATAGGAGATGTCAATGCCGAGGATCTGGCTAGCGTGTAGAGACAAGATGCAAAAATGTTTCAGTGCCGAATAACTCACGGCGCTGCCCACGCAGTGGTCTTTGGGCAAAAGCTCATTAACCTGGAGTTAAGACAAGCCCTGCGTTCAGGGTGGAGAGGGCTGGGCATGACTTCTGGACTCTTTCCCACAACCACGGCAAGGCAAGTGGCCAAAATTAAGTGCAACCCCGCAGCCAAGAACAGGGCTCTGATGGAGTTCAGAAGTTGATACCTGGAAACAAGAAACAAACATATGTGTTTGTTTTGCGGCAAAGCTTCTTGACTGAAACAAACATGTGTATATACGAACATGCATGTATTTTTCTGGAGAGTGCATCGGACTACAGGCTTTATAGCATGGGTTTACTTTGGTCCCTGTTATTTTAAATTTTGTTGCATGTATCTATGCATTTGAAATACAGCTAGTTAAGAAGCATACGAACACCAAACGAGTAGTGCAAAAACAGAAGCTGCAAAACCTGGGCCTGCAGTGCGTCGTCTGTATACAAACACGTATACACACAAATATACATATGTACATACATACATATATGCATATATACATATTTGCACATACACATACATATATACATCATATACATATATATATATATATATATATATATTCATATGCATAGAAATTCATGTACATATACCTCTCACTCTGTAAATGAATGGGCCTTTGCAGGCGCTGGCAGAGGCTCTGGCTCCATTGATTTGCCAGGGGCCTGGCATCCGAACATTTGGAGTGCTGGGCGACAAACGATTGTAGTCTCGCTTCGATGCTTCGATGGTACATCAAAAGTGTTTCAGCCCGCCCTAGAGTATCCTCAAGGTCAAAACGCAAGAACAAGGTGAAACGAGGCTTTGCGTGAGGTTGAGGGGCCCTGAAAGATTTGCAGATGCACGACGCTGCCAGTAGTGGGCGGTGTAGCGCGAGTCAGAGAAGCCCCCAAGGTCGTCGCTGATCCGTCGCGCCCCACAGCAGCAGGCAGCAGGCAGCAGGTGTCAAAGGCGACCTTCCCTAAGCCCTAAACCATGCCTCGAACCCTGCAGCGCTCTGTCCCCAACCCGAAGTAGCTATGAAGCATCCTACAACCCCGGATCCACTCAGGGGGGCTGGAGTCCAGGGTAGCGAGTTCAACAGTAAAAGACCTCAATTTGCTTCGTCGAGCAGTTGCCTCCTACGCAACATGGACCATGGAATCCCAAAAGAATCGCAGCTCTCACTTGGCTAAGGACCCAGCATGGAGGGTGGCTGCTAAAACCACTGACTCCGATTCCGACGAGATCGCCGACGTCAATGACCTGTAACTTCCTAAGGGTTCGAAGTTGTTTGGAAGGCTTTAAAGGTTGGGGCTTCCGACGTCTTGAGGAGCTTGTTGGAGCATTCCACCCTTCCCTGAATGTGGAGGTAGGTTCCGAGGGGAAGGACCCCCCTGACCTTAACACAAGGACTTGCTGCCCGTGTGGCAGCCCGCTTGTTAATGACCTAATTTGATTGGCAAGCGCCACAGCAAGCCCCACAGCTGTGGTATTGAGCCATTGCAGCATGTCTGTGGCAAAGGAGGTGTGGTTATGACATGTTTTCTACCTGTGCTCCTATTGTTGGCAGACCCGTTTCTTGCAGCCATGGGCATCAATTCGACTGTCACATACTGCCATGCTACCTCATGGTACACTCTGCGACATTCCGCGTTGGTTTCGGAAAAAAGCTGCATGTGAGCGATCGAAGAATGGCTTCAAAACATAGGAACGCAAACGCTTGAAGCACTTGAGGACCGATTCGGTGTGAGGCTCCGGAGAGCTGTAGCTCCCCTCCCAAGACCTCGAAGTGCCGACATGAGAACTTGTGCCCCATCTTGCAACCCCTTCGGGTTCCAAGCAGGGCTTCCAAGGGAACGAACAACTTTCGTGCATGGGCCGCTCGTTGCCAACGTCGTGCCTTTTGAGCTTATTACGGGCTTCAGACACATGGTGCAAAACGAGCTGAAGTGGCTGGGCAGCTGCAGCAACAAGACCCTTTTGCTGGCAGAAGTCTCAGCTCTTTGACCCAAAAGCACCCTCTGTAGCTGTAGCAGTCGCTGAGAAAAGTTTTAGGGTTGAGTTTGGGCTGTAGCCATGAGTGCTTCGCCTTCGCTCAACGTGGATGTCAGAGACATCCGCCTCCGGGGCAACAGCCCTGTGGCCAAGAAGGGCCAGAATCTCGGCTCAGGAAGGTTCTACGGCCTAACCCTCAACCCCTTGGCACCCCGGACCCTGAAGCCAGCAGTTCCATCAATCGAGGTGGCAGCCTGGGACCTACACTCGGAAACTCCTTAAGGAATTGTTTACTTCTTTTGTCACAGGACATACAGCACACACAACGACGAGATAAACCCTGGCCCGAGCCAAGCGATCAGCTCAGGAACCCCGTCACTGGAACTTCCGTGAGCACAGGCCAGAAGGTGGGCCTCTGCCTAACTCTGACCCTGTAAATGCTTGTGTGTGTGTGCAGGATGTAGTCATGCTCTTCGACTGAAGTCTTGTAAGGCTTCGCAACAAGAATGGGAGAGTTTGGATTCAGGGAGTGAGGTGAGTGCAGGGGGGAGGTCGAAGCTCCGCGCTAATAAATCCCCACGAAAGAAAGAGGCCTCTTGCAAACCTGAATCCCTCCCAAGCCGAGGTGGCGAGAGGCCTGGCTACCGGCTCCCGGCGGCTGGCGAAGATCTCGGGCCTGGCGCTGCCCCTCAAATGAAGTGTGGAAAGCTCAAAAACATCTGAAGGAAGGGGGGTGGGTTTGTGATTTGGCTGTGGAGGGACCTGATAGATGCAGAGTAGAATTGTTGGACATCAACAAAACCTTGGACTCCCGCCAGGTTCGGCATTATCTTCCTGTTCGCCTTTCTGGGCTGGCCTGGGTTTGTCATTGAAGATGATGCGACACACAGGACGGAGATGTATGTTGTTCCATGTGCTTGTAGCTAGAAGCCCCACTTCGCTTTAAGCTCTCTTGTCCCGTGCCAATCTGGCACAGCGTACACAGAAGGGTACTCGTAGCGTGCGGAGGCCAGACGGGGGAGACGGGAGCAGCACATCAGCACACATCGAAGCGAAGCATAGCGAAGCGAGTCGAACCTCCACAAAATGCTGGTCCAGGGCTCAATGGGCTTCATGACTCCCGAAGCGGCAAATAGGCTACGCTTGGGGGGGCGAGAGCCAGGCATTCGTCTTTGAACCCGGCCGTGCTTCCAAGGGAATCTTGAGAAGCGACCCCGATCTCGATGGATTGCAGGATTTGCTTGGGGGAACTTTAGGTGTCAACTCCCAGCTGCGCTTCAGGCGGAGGGCCAAGGGTGAATCTAGAGGCCTAGCTGAACTCCAAGACCCTGGGCTTCCGATGTGGGATTCGTCTGACCAGTCTGCCCCCTTAAAACAACATCTGCACCGCCTACAGGGGCTTCTGGCCCTCCGGGCACAGAGCAGGGAAGCTTAGCGTGTAGACGGGTGCAGGTAAATGAAGTTGCAGATTAAGGGAACTGCTGAGCCTCAAGTCTCTAAACAACAGCCTGGATAAACGTTGACTTGTGAACTTGGGGCACTTGTTCTGGCAGCCTCTAGACCCTGAACGAATCTGACATGCTGAAGGGGGATCCTCGCGGCTCTGTTCTTGACCGGGATCACCCTGGTGGCTTTGGAGGACGTCATACGCCTCGACGTCTGGGCGCAGTTTCAGTGAAAGGCACTCTTGATGGTTTACGGCTGGCCAGGCAGTCCTTCTGGAGTGCTATGGGTGCTCCTAGGGCATTGACCGTTGAGCTTGAAAGCAGGAGTCGTCAGTAAGGGCCAATGTCCTGGGGGGAAGATATGGGTGGAGAGTTTTTTTGGTACTTTTTTTTTTTTCGTGGTCCCCTGGTCTCCTGGTGCCCCGGTCTACTGGTCTTCCTTGGAAAATGCTACATTCCCTTTTCAATTTTCATAGGATCTGGTCGACTTTCGTGTTTTTCCCAAAAAAAACCTCCATTCTCATTCCCTCCATATCTTCATAGGATTCCTACTGCTTTTTGTAGGAATTCTTATAAATGTTGCTCGCAAGCTTGCATGGCTTTAAAAAGCGGTGAGTTTGGCGGGGGGGGGGGGGGGAGCGCAGCCCTGCTTGCATGACAGGTGTCAAAAAGACGCATATGCTTTGAATGAAGCTTTCATGGCCCCCGCCCCCCCCCCCCTTGCAACCGCAATGCTCGCATCATGGGCTTCAATCCTTCACATACTTTGAAAAAAAAAAGAGGCATGATTGGTTTCAATCTGTCATATGCATTGAAGAAAGTCTGCACAGCTTAAGTGCAAACACAATGCTCGCATCATGGGCTTCAATCGTTCACATGCTTTGAAAAAATTAGCATGATGGGTTTCAATCTGCAATATGCTTTGAAAAAGCTTGCACGGCTTAAAGAAGCGGGGGGTTGGGGGGGGCGCAGCCCCCCCACCATTTGCAAACACAATGCTCGCATCATTGAAAAAATGGCCTGATGGGCTTTTAACGCTCATATGCTTTGAAAAAGGCTTGCACGGCTTAAAGAAGTGGGGGGTTTGGGGGGGGGGGGGGGGGGCAGCCCCCGCCAATTGCAAACACGATGTTCGCATCGTTCATATGAGGTTTAAAAAATAGCATGATGGGTTTCAATCTGTCATATGCTTTGAAAAAAGCTTGCGCGGCTTAAAGAAGCGGGGGTGCAGCCCCCCCCCCATTTGCAAACACAATACTCGCATCATGGGTTTCAATCGTTCATATGCCTTAAAAAAAATGGCCTGACAGGCTTTTATCGTTCATCTGATTTGAAGGAGGCTTGCACGCCTTAAACAAGCGGGGGGGTTGGGGGGGCGCAGCCCCCCGCCCCCCATTTGCAAACACAAGCTTCAATCGTTCACATACTTTGAAAACAAGGCATGATGGGTTTCAATCTGTCATATGCTTTGAAAAAAGCTTGCACGGCTTAAAGAAGCGGGGGGGTTGGGGGGGGCGCACCCCCCCCCTATTTGCAAGCACAATGCTCGCATCATGGGTTTCAATCGTTGATATGCCTTGAAAAAAATGGCCTGATGGGCTTTTAACGCTCATATGCTTTGAAAAAGGCTTGCACGGCTTAAACAAGCGGGGGGGGGGGGGCGCAGTCCCCCCCATTTGCAAACACAAGCTTCAATCGTTCACATACTTTGAAAAAAAGGCATGATGGGTTTCAATCTGTCATATGCTTTGAAAGAAGCTTGCACGGCTTAAAGAAGCGGGGGGGCTTGGGGGGCGTGAACACAATGCTCGCATGATGGCTTTCAATCGTTCATATGCTTTGAAAAACGTGGCCTGATGGGTTTTCATCGTTTCATCGTTCATCTGCTTTGAAAAAACTTTCACGGCTTCAAAAAACGGGGGGTAGCAGACCAGGTAACCAGGCGACCAGCAGACCGGGAGACCAGGGGACCAGGAGACCAGGGGCCCAGAGGACCACGGAAAAAAAAAGAAAAAGCACCAAAAATAGAAAAAAAGTACCAAAAAAATAGGCCCTCCGGAAGATATTGATATGACCGCAATATCCTCTTGCGCATTGTACTGAGCCATGTGGAACTAAGGACAAGGCAGCGATCATGCTAGTCTTGGCCTCTGTCATGTGGACTTACCACGCTGCGCAGAAGCACCCGACGAAATCAGCAGCCGGGCACCAATTGCTCCATCACGACCCTCGGCAGCATAGCTGGCCTTGCGTGCCGTCTCAGGCCTGCACTATAGGTCACTAGGTCTTATTACCGTGACATGCAGTGGCAGTTGAACGAAGGCGACGACATGTTTCCATTCCGTTAGCTGACCGAAGCTAGTCGCACCATTCTTGAGCCCTGTCTTGCACAGCAAGGAGCTATCAAAGGGCTTGACGGATGTCGGGAGCGTCATTCTGTTCCTTCTGCCTGCCATGGGCATTGTAGAGTCGATCGACCACATGGATGGATTTGCTGCTGTGACCGCTTTCATTGTCCGGCGCACACAGAATCATCCCGATCGCCTGATGCCTATGATTTGCTGCTTGGTGGCACAAAAAAGCAGGTTTAGGTGGCTGCGAACCAGACGACAAACTACCGTTCTCCATCAGTGGAAGACTTCTTGCAGGCTTTCACTTGGCACTAGGTACACTGCAATGCAGAAAAGCCTTCAGAGGCCTACTCGTGCTGAGCTCTACACGTTTCCCAGCAATTCACAGGCGAAGACTCATTGCAGGACTTGCAGCTTGCATGTCATTTGAAGGATCATACCCAGCAGATGTCCTGGAAAAGCCAGAATCCTTGAACACCAGGCCCCAGAACCACCCAAGAGCACCAAAGTCACAAGAAGCCTTGAGGTGCATTTGCTCTTAAGGACCCTGTCCATGGCACATCATGCCGCCACACAGAAAAATTGTAGCAGAGGCTGCTCCTCCCAAACTGGTGCCCAGGGATGCGGAGGGTATGCCCTGGGCGTCCTGAGAAGCTCGCCACATCAAGCCAGGTACCCTCGCTTTCTTCCTAAGTTCTGTGATTGACAACTTGACCGCCACCATCGTGTGCATCAAGATCCTGAAGCGCGTGGTGCCTCACAATCAGGCATGCTCCGAGATCACAGAGCTACCCCCCCGCTATGAGCAGAAAGAGTTTAAACCGCGTTGTACCCGCCCCCCCCCCCCCCCGAATCGCCTCAGCAGCACCAAGTAAACATAGAAGTTGTGGTGTAGGGCAACACAGGGTGTGCTTTTCCTGATGCAGATTCCTGCCTGGATTGCAGGATTGGAGGCACTCCTGTGGCGGTGTCGTGGTCGTTGCGGCCAACGCTGGGGGCGCTTGGAGTCCAATCGGCGATGCATGCTGGCAGCACATGGCAACAGGGTGCTTTGTCTTGTTTGGGCCAAGTTCTTGGGCCTCCGACATGTCTCGCGGGCTGGGGCGGCTGCAGAGCGATTCAGGATTACGAACCCAGATGTTCAACCCAACAGCCAGCAAGAAAACGATGATCAAGGACCAAGAACGAAAAGTTTGCACGAGGCGGGAGATTCGGGTACTTCTGCGAGAATCGTCGCCAGTGGTCGGGAACTGCCATTCCAAAGAAGTTAGTGTGCCAGGATGTGTGCATGGAACATCCCTTCTGCGCAAGTGCCCCTGAGTTGAAGCTTGTTTTAAAAGGGAGGTCTGTCAGCGTCCTCCCAAGACCTTGCAGACTCACGAACCACGACAGGAAGGAAGCGAGAAGAAAACTGCATGCCTGAACCTGAACGTTTAGCTGCGGGACCTGCACCACCCTGGCCAAGGTGACGACCACCATGCTATGGATCCTGGCTTGAACATGGCCTGCTGGGCTGTAGGGCTCGGGCAAACTTTGGGTTTGTAACTTCTGGAGGTTGAGGCTGAAACTTGGACCTTACTGACACTGAACGCATTAACGGCTGTTTGTACAAGTGGCATTCGATCACACTGGATGCGCAGTGTGCGAGTAGCTCAGATGTAGCCAGAATGGCTTGACTATGAAGGCCCGAGGCATATTTGGGAGATTCGAGGGTGTTGTTCAAGAGGGTTTTTGACATGAGCATGCAGCAGTCTGGTGCTTCGGCGTAGCGCCCATGGACTAACAAAATCACGATGTGTTTACTGGCCGAGGATCACTGTTAATACTTGCTAACCGAAAAAGACAACCCCCAAAGCGCCCAGATGATGTGGCTCGGGATAGCAAGCTTTAACAAACATGCCGGAGGGGCAGGTCGTTCCGATGGTTGACATATTGTCGATGCACGGAGCATCAGCCAATCGATCGACTTTGTGTGGCAGAGCGTCCCCCCAAGAATAGTCCTCCGGATGCAAGGCAGTGAGAATTAAAACCCTCCACATTCGTAGCCTGCTGAGGATTCAGCACAGGATCTCGACCTTCGGAACAGTAGACACTTGGAGAGCGTTCAGAAGTTGACGAGGGAGTTCGTTTGGGCTTTCCAAAATTTTAGATTACAGGGCTTTCTTGCCGTGACATGTGGGGACTTGACAGAGCCAGCAGCATGCTTTTTCTAGAGTTCTTGTTTGTAGGTCTTGGCCTGGAATTCCTACAAAGGCCCTGAGGCCTTCCGAATCTAAGTTTCCTGTCCGGTCCGTGACAATAAGAACCCCACTCTCACCGTAAGCCTAAAGCCACTTCAATGATCCACCTCAAGCCTCAAGCAACTCTGCAGTCTTGAAACCAGTGCCGCCGCAACACATCCTCACATCCCTGTAGCCCCCCCGCCGAAATAGCCCCCAGCGCCAAGCACAAATGCGATCATGTGCAACATGCCCCAGGTTTGGCTGTTCTTTCCCTCTCTCGTGGCCGGCTTCATCCCGCTCTTCGGGATCTGGTGGCAGGCGGCCTGGGCATGCCATGGCCCGCCATGTGAGGGCCCGAACCTGAACAGGAAAGTTTCCTAAATCATCCTAACTCCTGTACCCTTAAGCTCCAACCTTCAGCCCAGGAAGCCTAAACCCTTTCTCGGGACTGTTGGCCTAGGGCTGCTTCCGGTGTCCAGAGCATGCATTTCTTCTGGGACGGTAGTTAGGAGTTGAGACGAGGTTCTCGGAAGTGAGTGCAAGCAACAGGTGCCGCGCTTGACAGCCGGGGTACTCTTGAGCCCATTGTAGGACCATTACGGCTTCTGGCCCTGGCTAAATGCAACCCCGCAGGCTTTCTCGAGACAGCTGTTTTCCTATAAACGCGTGGAGCGACAAGACCTTTTGGGATACAAAGGATGGAGGCACAGAAATTAGGCAAAGAAAGAAAGAATCAGTAACGACATTCAGAAATGAAGAAAGGAAAGGACATGAGCAAATGAAGAACTAAGACAGAAAGAAAGAAACAACCGAAAACTAGGGGAAGGAACGCAAGGAAGCAAGGGCGCTGCCCCCCCCATTATTTCTTTGCGTTTCATTTTGTATTAGCACTGTTCGAGCCTGCTTGATAAAGAGAATCATGCCATGAGCGCTTGAGGAAACACACAGGATATTTCCGAATCCATCATGTGAGCACTGCGTTGCACTTGGGGAATTGTTTCTTTATGTTTAAAGCGTGCAAGTCATTTGCTTTTCAAGAAGATCATGCCATGAGTTATTGCGCTAAACAACATACGAATCTTGTCCAAACCAGAAAAGAGAAGCAGTATTGAGGTAGGCTCTTGTCGACCAGAAGAAGGCAATGCAGTATCAGACTCTTTGAGCACACAGAATCGTCGACCCATTGTCCTATTGCCCTGGAAAGGCCAAGCGGAGTCAGGAGGGATCCTTGCGGCAGGAGGCAAAATTTGAAGCCCCTGTGGCCAGCAGCATGAATGGCACCTGGGCGCGCAGGGCCTGGAGTCTCAAGATTTCGGGCCTTGAGCAGATTTTGAATTTACAGGAGCCGCTGCGGGCACTCTAGCACGGCAATTGTGAAGATTCAGCAGCGGACGTGCAAGTGCAACCGAGGCAAGATGACTTTGCTTGTGGGAGCCTTGACGGAACACGATTGTGATTTCCCGCTCTTCACGGGGCAAAGGTTCGCAGCCTCGGGCATTGGTCTTGTACTACGTACATCGCATAGATTCACGCTTCCTCGCGGCTTTGATGACCCTACCCCTGCAATTTATCTCCACAAAAGACTCCGGCGCTGTAAGCACTCGAGGCATGCTGTGCATCCTGACCGTGCCGCTTGTGAAGATGGTCACCGGGTTGCCAGCCGGCAACATCGGCAACTTCAACCCACCAGCAGCAGTGCATCCATCTACAAGTAGGCGGTTCCCAACAATCCACCTCTCTGGCAGAATGAACTTTCACTTTGGATGCGGTTGCGTTGACTTTTTCCATGTACCGTGCTGCTTTGGGTTGTTTAGTTTCAGAGACAGGCCGCAGAATATGGGTGACGTTGAGCGTCGGATGTAGGTATTACCGGCAGAAGCCGAGTCCTCGCCTGGCTTGCTCAAAAAAAGTCAGGTTCAAGCTTGCCACTGTTGCGCAGCACCCTCAGCTCCACGTAGCCGAGACCACATGTGCCAAGGCTCCCACCCTACCTTGGCATGATGATGGCGCTGGGCGTTTTCTGGCTGGTCTCCGAGATTTGCGATTTGGGCCTGGTGCCTCGGCAGTCATCGAATTGAGTCGGTTCCGGCTTGGGGCCCTGAGATTCCCCTGAGATCTCTAAGGCTGTAAGGCTCTGAGAGGGCTTCAGGCTTCAGGACTTTTTCGCGTGTAGCCCCCCGAAGTGCTCTGGACGCCTCGTGATGCCGAAACTGCAGGTCGAGGGTGATGAGGAGACCGGGCCGCTCCATGGGCTGAAAGGGGTGCCTGCCGCCTTGCACAAGGCTCGAAACCCCGAAACCCCCTCCTTCCCCTCCCCTTGCCCTCCCTAAGCCATATTGAAATCTGTTCACAACGATTTCATCAGCTGAGCTAGGTGGACTTGAGCAGCCTCCTCTTCTTTACCGGTGTGCCTTGGATGTGCCGCCAATACACCTTACTTCGCATCAGGAACACAAGACTCTCTCAAGTGTTTATCGCAACTGTTGATCGCGAAGGGTGGCATTAATGGCCCTTTGCAGCAGAGGCAGTCGATTGCCAAGATTGCACACGCATGAACCACTGAGGTCCTGAGCCCCCCATCCTCTTAGCAGACCGGCCCAAGAGCCCAAAAAGAGACCCTTGAAAAACGAACAAAACCCCGGCAGCTACGGCCCTAACCGAGGTGTTGCTCGGCGTGTCGGCTTTGGAGTCTGCCGAAGTCCTGGAGCGCTACGCCAAGTTCATGGAAGAGGCGGGTAATATTGTGCACTCTGAATGGCAGGCTTCGGGGTCTCGTGGACTTCGGGTTGCGGGAAGTCGCCCAGCTTCAGAAGGTTTGCGCTACGTCTGAAAAGAGCATGAATTCTCAATCCTGCTAGGGCTCGACCCGCATGCAACGGGGGCTTCTCGAGGCAATTTTTCTGAAGCTTGAGCCCTAATTAAACTTTATGCCAGACCCTCCTTCATGGGCAGCTTGCGCAAGCACCCTTTGCCTAAGTTGCTTTGTAGTTGCTTCTGCAAGACTCAAACTCCACCCCCAGAACCTGCTCAGGTCACCCATGGCAGCTCGTTGCTCTTGTGCTCCCTGCTCGGCGTGTCGTCCGCGGTGGTCGACAACGTCCCGCTGGTCCAGGCTGGCTTTGGCGGTTGCAATGTCGAAAATGTGCCGCACCAAATGGGCCTTGGGGTCGAAGGTGCAAGCAAATGCCAACCGAGCATGAGCTTCGAGACAAGATTTGAGATTGAGAGGCTTCCACCAACAAGTCACTAGCCGTTTCGGATCTCTCTGTTTCAATGTATTGCTCTCCTGGCCTGTGAGGCCTGGAAACTTTACCCAAAGTCCACAAAAGTGGGCGGGTTTCATCATGTGCAGGCATCGATCGAGATGTTCGAGGACGGGAAGACGCTTTACACCCCTGAATTTCTCGTGTCTTGGACGCCTCGAAGCAGGGCAAAGAGCCACCTCCCTGCCTCCATGGAGCTAATGTGTTACTAATGTTACCTTGTGTTGGCAGACTCGGGAATTTAAATGTGAAGGAGCCCATGGATTCCCCGCTGTGGCAGCTGACTGCCCTTGCTTCTTGGTGTTCTAAATGATTGTGATACGGGAAGCGAGAAAGGGCTGAATATGGCTAAATTGACGGCCGGAATGCGATGGGCTGGGAAGGCTTTGTTTCCAGACATCAAAACTGCAAGTCGCTTCCGTTCCTTCCCTCTGCCGCAGCACTGTGACTTGTCCCATGCCCCCGTTCCCGCCCCCGCCCCGAAGCCCAAGCACGTAGCTCAACATGAGTTTTCAGCGAGTGGCTCAGGCGGCCGGAACCGGAGGCTCCATGCTAGCTGTCGGCAGCGTCGCAGGCCTTGAGGGCTTCAGAGCGTGGAAGAAGGGGGGTAAGCAGGCTACGATGGGCGGGGAGGGGGCCAGGCTCTGAAGCGGTTTGCGGAGCTTGTAGGCCTATGACTGGTAACGGTAACTTCGCGGCCGCAAAGCAACGTCGCTGCCAGGGGTGACCCTGATGGGCCTGGAGGGCGTGGGGTTCCTCTGGTACGCACGGCGCGTAAGTCCCCCGTCAAAGACTTGGAGGTTGGGCATTTCTTTGTATTGGGACGGTTTGAGCAAATAGGGTCAAACAGGGTCCAAGTCTGGGCATGTCGAGGTGTTTGGGAAGATCTTGTGGTTTTTTTGTGCTAGGCTTTGGGGTGCTTGCGGCAATATTTTGGGGCAGGTTCAGGCTCTGAGGATCAAGCCCCCCAAAAGCAAGCAAGGCTTCGAAGGCCCTGAAATGAAGTTCGGGGACTTCAAGGCGGTTTAGGGCAACTCCCAGGCATCTGGGCAGCGCTGGGCTACGCTCTGGGCCTGGCCGCCTACACGGCCCAACGGGCTTTGGCCCCCCATTAGAGGCCCCAGAAGTTGATTTTTTTTGAGGGAGTGAGGGGGAGGATGTGCCGGCAGCATTGCAGCTATAGGATGTCCTGCCAAAGAGAAAGAGGTACAAGGCACCCACGCTTTTAGGCCCTAGGCCTTAGGGCTTCAGCCGGTTCAGCCGGTTCAGCTTCACAGCGAACGAGAAGAAGCAAGCATAAGCCTCTCCAGAGGCTCTCGGCAAGGAAACCCTCTCTGCCCCATAATCCTTGCATCCTAAAGCTAAGCCTGTATCTGTGTGTGGAAAGAACAGCCCCCCAACACCCATCCTCAGCATTCTGGAGTAAGAATCTGAAGTTGGGCTATTGTGCAACCTGACCTTTTCCCCGTAAACGCGTGCGAAACGGGTGGGAAGCAACCGCAACGCCGGAGTCCTCGTCACCAAGCTCCCTCTCGAAGGTGGCGCTTCTTTCACGTTGAGTACCCGGGGGATGGACTCTGAATTTGCCACAACTGTTTTGTGTGCCAGGATGGGGTATGGTACGATGGTGCCCAGGCTGTGAACCCTTCATCCCAAGCAAGTGACGCCAGAACCCTCAAATCCTTAAGCCTCCTAGCGGCTACGTGACCTGTCGTCACCTGCAGTTTCAACCTTCTAGGGATTGGGATGCTGTCGCTGCTCAGCCGAGTCGCGCAAGCCGCTGAGAGCGTGAACGTTGAAACACTGTAAGGTGCTTCAAGTTGTCTGTTGGGGTTAGAGATACCTCATCCAGGCGGGTCTCAAGGGCTTTTTCACATGAATTCTGAAAGGCCTGTCTGTTCTCCCAGTGAAGAGCTGCACCAGACGAGACCGTGTGCTGCATTTTTCTGGCCCTTGCGCATGACCGAACCCTTCTACAGAAGTGCAAAACTCGGAGATCCTAAAGTTTTCAATCCTCAACCGGAAGCCCAGACCTTTTTGGAAGTTTTTTTTCAGTTTCGAGGGGCCAGGGACACCGGATTTGGGATTCGGACGAAGATTCATCCTCTTGAATCTTTGTGAGCACCTCTTGGGTCGTTGAAACAAGGGTCCCCAGAAAACGGATGTAGGACTCAGCTGTTGAGGTCAGGTGTGCAAAGGCTATTCGTGCGGTAATTTTGGCCGCATAGCGTGAGGCCGCTACCTTTTCTCCGGAGGGGGGAACACGAGTCCAGAGCCCAACTTGTTCTGTCAGAGTTTAGTTGCAGGGGCATTGCAGAGTTAGCGCTTGAAAGCTGAGCAATGGAGAGGCATCAGGTCTACCGTCGTCTAGGCAGTTCCTCCTCAAAGAGTTCAAGAAGTTTGTGGGCGCGGGTTTGCTGGTAGCCTGTGTGCCCTCACATCTGGCATGTTTGGCATCTGCCTGTGGAGCACTACACGCTCCTGATTTTGAGGGCGCGGAAGGTCGCACAGCTCTTCCCCATGTCTCTTTTGAGCTGCCGTACAGTTGCCCTCGGCTTTGCCGACAGCCCTCTAGAGACCAGGTTTCCTTCGAAGCCTTTTATAACTTCCAGCGACCGCCGATCACCCTTGAAGCCAAAAAGCTGCAGGGTGGGATCTCAGCCGGAACACTATACCATTCCTGCTCTGCCTTGGCACGAGACCATGTCCTGGCTTTCTGCGAAGCACATAGAAGATACACCCGCTGGTGGTCATGAATGAATGAGAAGGTCTACGGAGGACAGGTGGTCCCGACGACTACAGCATCAAGCAAAAGCACTTTGCCAAGCGTGGGGCACTGGCAGCTTCCAGATCTCCATGTGCATACTGCAACGAGTGCCGTTCCCGCTGCTTTTTGGCCAACAGCACGTCCTAGACCCCCAATCCTGGACCCCCAAACCCAAAAAGCCCCCTTGTCCTCCCCCCAGCCCCAAGGCACCCAGAGCCTTAAACCATCAGCCTTAAACCAAGAGAAGGTCTCTCTAAGCTTCCTTTTGCCCACCAGTGGTACCGCGGATGAAGAGGCGCAAGGGGCTTCGTAGATATTCCTGCTGACAAGGATGCTCCCCCCCCCCCCCCCAGATTTGCCTTCAAAAAGAGGCCGGCCCGAAGGAGTTTTGGCAGCAGATGACAATTCTGGCGTTTCAATGTCAACCGCAGACCATCTTAACAAAGCGAGAAGGCTTCTCACGCAAGTGCCAGTTTGTTGATCCTGATCCGCCTGGCCCTGGGAGGCTTCTCCGCCATGCAGCACTGATACTGTCAAGGGCTCGGGGGGGGGTCAGCTTATTGATTGAGAGGTTCGGATGGAGGGCTTTGAAAGCCATACTTTTGCTGCGACTGGCAGTTTCGAGAAGGTGCTTGAAGCACGTGATGCGTGCAGAGAGTATCTATTGCTTCCTGACGAGGATGAGCTATGCCGGCATCTGGCCAAAAGCCCGAAAGCCCAAATTTCACATTGCATGTTGTAAATCCTCTGCGAAGGGCGAGGTCAAATATTGAAGTATCCAGATTGCTGTCTTAATTCTCAAAGGACCCTGGCAGGATGCAGCGCGGCACAAGGAGTGGGGCTCCCGCGGATGTGAATATTTCAGAAAATGGGATTTTACTTGGAATCAGCCCGATAAGAGCACTGGGGATCACGTTGGTGCATTCACGGACTGGAATTGGTTTTGCCAGAGCAGGTCCTCATTTTCAGACTCTTCTTGCCTCGGAGCTTCTGGGTCCAGACTAACACGACTGCATATGCCACTCTTTCACTTCCGTGACTGCCCATACTTCAAGCCCGGTCAGGCCCCGCAAAGCTTTGGAACCCAGACCCCGCACCCAGCAGGACTCGCTGCACGGAGCTACACCTGGCTGAGCGCCTGTTGGCAGCATTCGGGGCGATAACGGACTCACAATGTCTGGTTTCAGGCTTAATTAAGGCCTCAAAGACCACATAGAGACAAAGGGAGGGACGATTCAGAGCTAGTCTTGGGATTTGTGAGGCCTTTTGAACACCAGACCCCGGAGCTTTAGATATCACAGCCCTCCTGGCCAAGTAGCCCTGAAGCCATCCGAAGAAATTTGACCAGAATAGATTGTATAGATGCTTAGATGCTCTAGGGGAAGTGGCCCCGCGAGACCCTCTTGAAATCCAGACCGACCGCGCCGACTTCTGCCGGGACGTCCGGTCACCGCCACCAGTGCTAGCTGAGACGTG